GCTGCGAGCCCGGCTAGATCCGATGACAGTCTACATATGGCTTTACCGCAGACTGACAATAGAAGTACGGAATTTATTCCAACCGCCCTTGCTTCGGATGCCGAAGTGTTCACTCAAAGCAAATCGGATTTTATGACAGACCTCCCTACATCTGGATCCTTGGTGATGGCTCACGGTACCCCTTTAAGCCATCGCTGTTTGAGCAGCAGCGACACCTCTGTTTCCCGTATCCCTATGTCGCCATCTCTCCAATCAAAAGTTCATTCAGAGGAGCGTTTGGCGTTGCCGACCAGCCCTAGCAGGCGCTCTTCCAATAATTATGACGACACCGTGCCACAGGCCTCTCCAGCGGGTCGACTTTCTATTCCTAGTATTGAGGCTAGCCATCCTGCAGAGACCCTCAAAGTCTATGAGGACCCCCAGTCTCCAAATGCTAAAGAAAATGTCGGCCACCCTGGTCCACTTGGACTCTCCCCGAGGTCTTCCCATTCACCCGCCAAGGCTGCTCCGCTTGAAGAACTTCCAATCAACGAACCGGCGAACACGCCAAGTCGAAAATATAATCAGCAACAAGAGCCCTCAGGGTTCTCACCTTCAGCCAGTGTCGCTACCCCCGGAAGTGAAAATTTGCACCGGCGATGGAAAAAGGTGGAGATTTTAGAGAGACGAAGAAGCCTGAGCCCACGATCCAAGGATCCATCACGAGGGCGAGATATGGTTGATAGAGGGCTTAATAAAATCCGAACAGGAGCCATCGACGTGCATGGGTACCGAAAGGTGCAGAGCTTGATCAAATATCATGAGTCAATATTTCATGACAAAGCCAAATATGGTGCAACATTAATGGTGTTGTTAGAAGCCCTCGAAGCGCCAGACACTGACAGGAAGTCAACGACTGGTCGACCAATGGATCTCAAAACACAGGTACTAGTGACTATTCGCTTGTTGTTCTCGATGAATCGTGACTACTTTGCTACGTACAATGCTAGAGCCATGACGGCAATCATTACGGCCCGCAAACACTACGAACTTACAAACCATATCGTCAGCGGTCTCGAGGAAACAGCAGAGGATATTGTTCAAGCTTGCGACCCCGCAGATGTCATTGATGCAATTTTGGATCTTCTCGAGTCGGAAGAGAAGTCTCCCGACAGCCATCGAATGATTTCCATGGGTGGATACATCCTCAGCGGGCTCCTACGTCGACTTAACGAAAAAAACCTATTCCTCAGTGAGCCAGAGTTGGAACGACTTGGCAACTTTGCCAATCAAAGCCTCAAAGATCCCCAACCAGACATACGCCGAGCTGTGATGGAGTTCTGCTTAGAGCTGCACGAGATGGTCAAGCCAGAGGAAGCCTTTTGGCGCACGATTACCGAAGAACACCGTCCTTTGCTAACCTATTATATTGTGAGAAAGCCTGGAAGATGATCGATCACCCTAGAAGCGGATTCTTAAGAATTCGTGACCTCGATCAGTAGTTGACACACACGTACAGCCTTTTTTTTCTCTTGCACTATTGGACTTATTATTCTCTGTTTCCCTCCTTTCAAACTCTAGTCCCCCTGTTACAAACAATCCTCCGCTTTTTTCTCGCGACTCTTTGCTCTCTCTGTTTAGTTCGGAGCTATTTTCTTGATGTTTGCCTGGTGTTATATCATCATGACTCCTGTTGATAGCGTTATCGGAGTACGTGTAGTTTTTTATCTTCCTTCTTTCTACCTTCTCTCTTCTATACCTCCACCTCTATTATTCAACTTTTCAATTCATCTCTCTTCACCTTCCTAAAAAGCACATCCTTGCAGTGGTATTAAGTGATTTTTAATTGTATATTTTGATTTTGATTTTTATCCCTTCTTCGGTTTTCTTCTTGTTTTCATTTATCATTTATTTTCTTTATTCCTCTTCTCTGGATTCTTTTTCTTTCTTTCTTTCTTTCTTTCTTTCTTTCTTTTTTCTTTTTTCTTTTCTTTTCTTTTCTTTTCTTTTCTTTTCTTTTCTTTTCTTTTCTTTTATTTTATTTTATTATTTTTTTTTTTTTTCACGGCTCAGGAGTAGAGTATTGTTTGTTTCTTAATTCTTATGGTCAATTATGCCGCACCGTTATTTTAACCAAGGGCAATTTTACAGTTTACGTCTATATATTTTCACTCGTCAGACTTGCATGTTGTTGTGTAGAGTTACCTATTCATGGATACTTTTAGATTTGAGCTTGTGAAATTCTTATATTATACTTTATTTATTTTATTTTTCCTTCTCTTTACAGTGTAATATCAGTTCAATAAATTAGATTGCTTGTCATTCATTCATTCTGAGAAAGATAACTAACTTCTTTTATTCATGATAGTCAGATCTATGTAGTGTCAATATTCTGATTATCAGAATGAATTTATCAATCTTATATTTACAATGCTATTATTTTATTTTATTGTTTTTCCCTCTTTAAGTTATCATATAACACAGTTATACTGATAGATAGCAGCTGCCAGCTCTTGAATATATCAATAGCTTCATAGTCTTTTATCTAGAGGATTCTCTCAAAGTTTGATTAGCGCATTTCCATTCCCTCTCTCAACCAGAGTTTTAAGGGGGTTAATGCCTTGTGATGCTTAAATAAACAGCTAGTTACACCTTAACTAAAGCTAGTCTAACAGGTAAACAGAATACTTGAGAACAATAATAGTAATAGTATTAACTATAGCTTAAATTTAGCACTTTATAGAGAATCCTCTCAAAAGTTCTGATTAGCACTAAGAATTTAAGGGGTAACTTTGGGCATAAAGTTATTCTCATTTCCCTCTCTTAATCAGAGTTCTAAGGCAGGTAATGTTGGTGGCACATGAATAACCAGCTACAGCAGCACAGCTTAACCAAAGCTAGCTTAAATTCCAAGGGCTTGAGAATGGAATGGTAATACTTTTACAGCGTAATTCTTAGTGCTAATCAAAACTTTTGAGAGGATCCTCTGTCTGTATAGAAAGAGCAAGACAAAGCTAACTACCTAGGTAGGTAGGGTAGGGTCGGGGAGCATACTTGTCACGTGGTAGCTTGAGCTGGCATCTGCTCCACGCAAACCCGTTTCTCTCTGTACCCGTAATCTCTCCCACCTAGAGAACACTGTTGTGCACTGTTTCATATTTATATCGCCTTCTGATACCGTTTATTCGACTCTCAGAGCTTTAAATGATGGTATTACAAGGTTTGCTCATCAAATCCCTCTCACAGCAATCAATACTGATTTGTTCTTGAATGACGGGATTAGATTTTGAAATCCATCATTCTTCGCACTCAATTTAGAGTAGCCCGGTCAATCTTTGGACCCCTAGGCCCAACTGTTAAGGTTAGCTGGAGACATGTTATTAAAAGGCCGTGTGAGCTTCCAGAGCTTGAAGCACTTCTCTACATCTCACAGCACACTACAATTCCAGTTCCTCGAGTTCAGTGTACATACATGGGACCAGGGGGCATATATATTATGATGGATTACATTCAAGGCGCAGATCTGTAAACTCTGTGGATGCACGGCCTGAAGCCCAAGGAAAAGGAAACCATTATGGATGATATTGCAGCTATTTTGACTCAGCTTCGAACACTTCATCCCCCCAAAGAAGACATAGTTGCATCTGCGCAGGGTAGTGCCTTTCTTGATTATTTACCGTATTGGAAGTCAACTCATCGGCCCATTTCAGTCACATTCTGACTTCCACTCTTCTTCACAGGGTGGCGTTCCACACATCTAAGGTTTTTCGTCAATGTCATAGCAACAATTATTGGACAGTCTTCTCACATTCAGATTTAGTCCCATGGAATATTATCATTTACAATGACAGAATTGTGGGAGTTATTGACTGGGCACTTGCAGGCTGGTACCCAAAGTATTGGGATCTAACAAAGGCATATTACACTTCATTCAAGGTGCCAGACTAGCCTGAGAGCATCAAACTTAATGAACTTGTGGCAGAATGCTTTCTTTGGAGGCTCTATGATGAGCCGGGAAATGTTTCACGCAACTAGTTTGTTTCTTTATAAACACAGAGTGGATATGGCATTCCAAACCCAATGGCGACACCTTTCTTCTGATTCCTTACCCAGCAGAGCAACACCTCTGAGAATGTTTTCGATGTCATTTTCTGTCATTTGTGGAGGGTCATTTGTGGAGAAGCTTTTCCAATCATGGCCCGACCGATTAGGCGCCACTGTCCAATGGATTCATATTGCTCTTTCTCCGGAAGAACCAGCTTCTTTTCAAGTTCAGGTCTTGTCCAGTTTCGCTATCCAATCGAACACCATCCAAACCATAATATGCCATGTTGTTGCGGCCGTTGGGCCTCTTAGGTGCTAACAAAACCCCTCAGTGGCATGCACTATACATCTTGCATATTCCCTTTTGAAGGGACATTCATCTCGGTAGTGGACGGAGATAAATAGGTGCTTTTTATTGCTCATACCGGTACCGCAGCGTTCAAATTCATTAGACTGATGCTTATATGCCAGTTAAGGATCTTTTCTTACTGTAGAAGATCTAAGAATGAAAGATTGCGAAAGCAAGCTCAGTTGGAAGTCTGTCAGTTCGGCGGATGTCAACTTCATACCTGGGTACTGATCAAATGGCAGGGTGGCATGATACTATTTATAATAGCGAAACAGTACCATTTTCAAGGAATTGGCTTGCTTTTCACCAATACAGATGGGCCAAGGGGCGCATTTCTTCCAGCGTGATGTCGACAGGTATGCAAGCAGCAAGTAATGGTAATAAAAACACCAGGGACCCCGACTGCTAGCTAGGAGCAATCCTCTCATCTGACAGTTTGCAGCCAACGACAATACGTAGCCTCAACGCCAATGCGAGGGGGAATAATACTATTTTCATACCCCCTGTGCATACAAAATGCATGCGCCAATAGAACCTGGTGTTTTTCTGAGCGAACGAAGCGTTAACGGCCTGCATCACAACGCCCTTGTCTCTGTTTCTCCGCTCGGTGGTGTATTTCGACGGGATCATGTTCCTTCCTACCACTACACTGGACCCGACAATGCAAAGTCAAGAATGCTGGCGCAAAAATCACGAGATAGAAATTCAGATCAAGAACATTGCCCGAGCGGCATTTGCGCTGACCAAGGGAGGGTTGGTCATCATCATGCATATGGAGACAGCTCTGAACTGCGCTGAACAATTCGATCAAGACTTCCATGGCCGCGTGAGTGATCGATAATATGGGATCATTAACATGGCATGATTGATTAGCATGCTATGATTCATTGCCGGCTATTGGTGATGGTTTCCTTTTTTCCTGTAAATATATCTCGGGCTTCAAAAACTCCTGCACCCATCCATGCAGCGGATAAGTGAATGTAATGATCTTTAGACTGGAATTTTGTGGATTGTCCACTCGAACACGAAAAGAGAAAGAATACATGAACATTTAGGATCCCGTGCCAACGTGTTTGTGATATTCCCCCCATCTCTCGATTGCACAGGAGAGTACTGAGAGGAGAGGTGAAGTCAGACTCAGCAGCTGAACTAGCCGTGGGAAGTAGCAGTAGCAGCAGTCTCATATACACATTCAAATTGTTTCTTGCCAGTGGTTTTACCGCATGAATATTCTTAATTACGGATAAGTAAACACTTGAATTCTGGTACTTCGTGGACTTTGTTTCTAAATATCTAAATATTGGTGAACTCTTCCCTCTTATCTGCAACAATTTGTTACAGGAGGGAAGTTCAAAGTTCCCATCTGTCAAAACTACCCAGAGCGCAGGGTTGTGGTGAGCAATGAGCATAGGGTAGCTTCCAAAACTTGGAACTACATGATTCCAAGATAGGTGGATAAAGATATACATGGAGAGCTCCCTAGGGATGTTAAGCTTACCTTTGGCTAGATAGATTTCTCAGACTGCTGGTGTTCATGACGGATGTAAGTATGTATATGAACAATGGGTTGACTTGTGCGGTGTTCTGACCTGCATCTTGTTGAAACAGAGCCAAGAATACGGATTAGATGTTGCATGAGAAGAGAAAAAACGAAGAATGAAAAGCACGCAGTCTATATAGCGATCCTAATAATTACATAAATTAACTTTAACTATGTGTAGTTAATCCGCAGGGACATAAAACAGAGCAAATCGTCCACTGCACTGAGGCACGATCTTGAACTAGCAGGTTCTTCAACACCGACCAGCGCCGGTTTTATACGGATCGTCCGTAGATTGTACGGAGCATAGCTGTGTATGTATGTGGCGAACGAAAATCACGAAACCCACGAATTGAGCGAAGATCTGGCCCATCCTCCGCAGATTAGTTAACTAGTGATAGACATGGACCGTGTGTGCGGCATAACTTGCGCGGTCTGCGACAGCCATTGTTTTGTGAAGGGTGGAGATACTGCTCATAAATACTCCGTACTCTCTGACCACGCCTAATTCCCCCTTTCGGCATAGCATGCCTATTCAGGAAAGGCGCCGCAACAGCACCCTTACTGATATAAGAGTCATGATGCCCTCACTGCTTCAATAACAGGTTCTTCCTTCTTTGCATTTCTCTCTCACTTTTCATTTATCCCTCACACTGTGTCATCTCCAATATGGTGATATTCTCTTTTTTCTCAGTTCTCAATAATCTGTTATTATGCTTGCTGAAAAGAGACTAGTAAAAGTATGATATATTCAATCATTGATATTATCTGCAATCACATTCTATCTTTCTGAGATAGACTTGTCTTCTAAAGCTAAGATACTACATTTTTGACTGTCAGTCATTTGTAATCATATTTATCTTGAAAACAGATATCTTCTTAGATCTCAACTGAGATTGATCTCTGTGAAGTCTTCTACTGCTGTATCACTGCTGCTGCTACTAATCTCTATCATACTTTCTAAATCTCTGATCATATTTCTATATTCTGAAGATACTTCAGACAAAGCACTGCTCATAGTATGATAGAAGAGAAGCATGATGAGTAAACAAGTATAAAACAGATAAGTCTTAAATATCAAGATATTATCAGCAGTACATACACTGAACTTCTAGCATAGAATAGAAAAGTCTAAGATATCAAGATATCAATCTCAACAGATCACTCACACTAGAGTCTTTTACTGAATTTCTACTCTGTACAGAGTAGTTAGTCTGTTATAGTATCAGTCACCTCAGCTGATCACAGCAGAAAACAATGCCAAGATATCAGCTCAAGTCTTTATCAGATGAGTTCAAGTACAGAACACTCTTTTATCAGCTGAATTATTAATACAGAATAGATTATCTTGTATTATCTTATAAGTCATCTTATAAACTAGGTATCTTTGTATATGAAGCACAGACAGAATATCTGCTATAACTGAATAAGTAAAGAATGATTCTAGTCTATTTATATTATTTGAAATTTTGTTTACAAAGCTGATATTCTAGTATGAGACTTGAAAGAAAGACAATTGCATTGATTATATTCTGAAATCAGAAAGATTCTATCAGATGAAATATTCAAAGATAAATCTATTACAGAGATTCTTGATTGAGAGACTACTAAGTTTCTATCTCACTTCTGAATTGCAATAAAATCATTTATTTCAGATTCATTATTTCTCTAAGCATAGCCTGAGTATTTCTGATTCTGATTAATAGCTAGAATAAAATCCTGTGCCTCTTTTCATCATGTCAATTCACAGACTATAGAAGAGATAAAAGTCTGTGATCTCTTCTTTAGTTTTTCAGTATAAATATTGTCTTTTTCTCTCTTTATCTTCATCTTTATTTCAATTTGTTTTTCACTCTTTATTCACTGTTATAAGAAACTTGCTGAGAGCTTCAGCTTCTATTTACATTGTATTCAAGACAATTTAATATTAATAAGCATGTTCAGTCATGACTACTGAATCTGAACCCTGCAGCATCATCATTGTTGATAATAATACAGCAGTATCTCAGTCTTCATTATATGAGTGAGAGCTATGAAGAAAGAGATACATTGTGAACTATAGCCTTTCAGAGTATGAGACTCTGTTTAATAATATAGAACTCAATTTCTTCACATTCATCTTCACATTCACAATATCACAGTCACTGAAGAAATGTAAAACATTTAACTTGAGAGTAGTTCTGATAAGATCTTTCTCTCACAGCTGAACTTACTCTTTGCTGATAATAAAATAGAAAGCAGTAAATCAAGAAATTCACATCATATTTAAAACAAATTTCACAAAGATCAGAGATGTACAAGAAGAAGTGCAGCATCTGAAGCTTTGAAACACTAAGCTATAAATCAAGCACTGTACAGAGCAGATAGAGAGAATGATTCAGATTTATTATCTGAAGACTGAGATCAGTCAGCTGAAGTCTCAATGTTAATGTTCAATATACTATATCATCTCTTCAGAGTGAAAAACCCTTCTGTGTGAATATAGATTCTGCTCAGAGTGTCTCTCTCTTATTTCAATGATCTGTGTATTATGTTGTTGAGATATCACTGACTATATAAAGAGTTATTAGATAGTATAAGCCTCAACTGCTTGCTTTATACTCACTTTGCTGCTTGCACAGTTCCTCCTTTCATCTCTACTCTTATCATCATCTTCTCTATCTCATCTTTCATTATCACTGTCTCTATCATCACCATCACTCTCTCTATCACTACTACTGCCTCTATATTCTTCTACAGTTATCATATTACAGCATTTTGCACAGAAAAGTTAGTTTTTCTATAATAAAGAGACAGCAGAGAGAAGAGAAATTTACACAGTTTAGTTTTCTAAGAATAATGTTTTTGAAATGTGAGTGTATTTCATACAGTTATATCTGTCAATCTGTTCATTGATAATATTTACTTGAATTCTTTTGAAAGTGATATCAGATCACTGAATGAAAGACAGATTGTAACTTTTGACATTGAGAAAGAAAGTAGAGTACATGATATAAATAGTATCTTGAGTATGTTTATCTTATTCATCTATACCTGTTTAAGAAAGTAATGAAATATGTTAACTGATAAGTGAAGCTCTCTGTGTTCTGACACATTGAGTATGTGAAGATTGAAACATAAAGCCTTTAGACAGTGACTGCTGATAATTAAACATGAGTAATATAGTTGTTAACAGTATCTGAGACATGAGAAGAAAGGATTGTTGCTGTGAGAGATAACAGAGAAGAAAGTGAACAATGTGATAAGATACTATCACTATAAGACAGTTTGTATAATGCTATTTGAAGAGATCTAGAGAAAATTTGTTTGCATAATTTATTAAAATAAACAACTACACACAGAATCACTAATAAATAACTAATCAGAAAATTCATAGCCTAGACAAAGTGAGGACAAAAATCATTTATTTGAACTTCATGCACAACCTGATTATCTCAGCATACTCAGTCTCTCTTCTCAATATTTTCAGATTAGCACAATCAACTAAACTTCTTTAGACTTCTGTCAAGTTCTGCTAACTTCTGAATCAATAAGAGACTTCACATGTACTCATAATCTAATATCTTGTAGAGAGTCTGAGAAGAAACAGTTCTATTATATATGAAAAATCAACTTCACTTATACAAAATATTTAATTGACTTCAGAATCATACATCTATTCTAAATATCTATCTAATCATTATCAAATCAATATTTTTTAAATTCTCAGTTATTCTGCTATTATCTCTGCTATTTTACAACTCACTATCTCTTCTCATTATATCACAATCATTGATAAAAGACAGTGTATCTTTTAAATCTTAAGATATTCAATATCAGACATACTTCAGTTAATATTCTTTATCACTTAAAGATAAATTCTCTCTACAATCACTACAGTCTCTTAACAATGTAGATAATAAATATAATATATCAGATAGTGACTTAACAGAGCTTGAATCTATTAATACTTCTTCAGAATTCAAGATCACTAATACTGATATCAATATCTTATAAGCTTATTTATAATCAAACTACTGTAATTCACAGTATCTGTCTACAATACCTTATAATCAGCAGAAAAGATAATTGAAATTATCTTATATTATCAGAATATTACAGTAAAATAGTTGAGAAATGAAGATCTTTATAGAGACTTAAATTCAGAGTTCTGATATCTTGACTCATTGATAATACAGTACTTCTACAAAGCAGTGAAATACACTATATTCAGCACTTTTCAAAGCAGAGATATTCAATGATAATCAATATTATACTATCTTACTTAAATAGAAGCTGAAATATCTTATTAATACTTTCTT